TGAAAGCCTCGAGTGAGCTGCACCCCTTTTGCCAGCTCCGGGTTGGGGCGTGGGGCGGTCAGTGCGGGCACCAGATGGGATAAGAAAACCTTCCGGGAGGGTGCATCTCACAGCCAGCTTTACTCGCTCTCGGCAAACACGCATGATTTATCCTTGGCTCTGGTGGAGTTGGGAGCTGAGAATTGGAAAACATTAAAGATGGTAATGGTCACCGTGTTACTCACTTCTAAGGTCATTTAACTGCTCTCGCCGGTGTTTGAGAGAGAATGCAGGAGGAGAGTGGGATACGGAGTTTGGAGAGGGTGGGGGTTCAGGGAGGAAGGAGCAGGCAGACTGCAGAGGAAAGAAACACGCTCTTCTCTGCTAGACATGAACCGATTCTTCTGTCAACGGACAATTAAAATGAATCACTGTATGGCAAAAGATCAAATAACAAACACGCAAGCAAGCAGGTTTTAGTGCCCCACACGCCACACGATGAACTAGATGTAAAGGCAGCTGTGTTGTCATCAGAGCAGCCCAGTGTACCTCATGTTCATTTCTGAAATGCACAGTTGAATTATTGCTGTTTCCTCTTGATGAACTATGTTGACTTAACCTTATTTGCTGTTTCAAAATAAGTTGTTAAATAATGTAAGAGTAAAAATAATTACCAAACGTCTCCTCTGTAACCAAAACAAATTACAGGGAAATATTAATAGAATGTACTCAATGTTTGTAAATTCATTTCACATACACCACTGAAATGAATGTCAGATGAATTGGGAAGCTTTGATGAGCCACAGCATCTTCCTAAGGAATACTTTTTGCACAAGTTTCAGTGCTGGAGGGAGAGGCTGCTGGCTTCTGCGGGGATCACGGCCAGATGAGTGTGTTCAGGCTGTCTGTAAGTGAGTGTGCCTCAGGCTAAGCCAGAAGGTGCCTGTAGCTATCTGTCGTACTTGGCTGGGTGGGAAAGTCAGTCCTACCTGCAGTGAAGGAAACGTAGGATAGTAGATATTGCCTTGATTATGAATAAAACAAGGTAATACACTGGTTAGAAGTGGAGATGTATTACTGAAGAGTAGGGTTCATATGCAAATTCAAATAATGCAAATTCAAAATTTGAGGTACGGTTTCTACTGAATGCATATTGCTTTCACACCATAGTAAAGTAAAAGAATTGCAAGTGGAACCATCTTAAGTTGGGGACCATCTATATGTATTTAAATCGAGTATGATAATCTTTATGTTCGAAAAACATTTTTTTTTAGAGACAGGGTCTCACTCTGGTCACTGAAGCTGGAGTGCAGTGGCACGGTCACAGTTCACTGCAGCCTCAAACTTCTGGGCTCAAGCAATCCTCCTGCCTCAGCTTCCTGAGTAGCTAGGACTGGATGTGTGCCACCACACCGGTATGGTGTTTTAGTTTTTATTTTGTGGAGACGGGGTCTTGCTGTGTTGCCCAGGCTGGTCTCAAACTCCTGGGCTCCTCCCGCCTTGGATTCCCAAAGAGTTGGGATTACAGGCATGAGCCACCACAGCCAGCTCTAATCTCTATCTTTTAACTGGATCATTTACTCCATTTAGATTTATTGTCATTACTGATATAATGATACAGTAACATTTTATTATGTAATTTTGTGCTATTTGTCCTGACATTTTCATGAGTTTTTCCTTCTTTATTGCCTTCTTTTGGATTGATTTTTTTCCTCTTCCATTCTTTGTCTCTCTACTAGTTTGGAATTTCTGGAGTATCACCTAAAAGAATAGAAAAAGGTGATATTTCTATTTAGCATGCATATTTAAACTTCTCAACATGAAATTAATGTCTTTATCTTTCCCCCTGGAAAAGTTAGCACTGTTACTCCCTCTAAATTATATTCTCTTGTCATGTATTTATCTTTCCTTTTAACCCCACAAGACATAATAGTAATAAGATAATTATTATTTTATAGAGTTAACATCTATAGAATTAATATCTTTCTTTTTGTTAGATGGAGTCTTGCTCTGTTGCCCAGGCGGGAGTGCAGTGATATGATCTCTGCTCACTGCAATCTCAGCCTCCCAGGTTTAAGCGATTCTCCTGCTTCAGCCTTCTGAGTAGCTGGGATTACAGGTGTGTGCCATGACATCCAGCTAATTTTTGTATTTTTTAGTAGAGATGGGGTTTTGCCATGTTGGGCAGGCTGGTCTTGAACTCCTGACTTCAGGTGATTTGCCTGTCTTGGTCTCCCAAAGTGTTGAGATTGCAGGTGTGAGCCACTGCACCAGCCTAGAGTTAATGTCTTTACTTACGTATTTACTTCTGCATTTGCTCTTCGTTTCTGGTTAAATCTCAGTTCTGTTACCTGATTTTTTTTTTCTGCCTAGTGTAAAACTTGACCCTTTTCTTTTAGTGAGGGTCTTGAGGACAAACTCAGTCTTGTGTGTGTCTGAAATGTCTTTATTTATTGAGAGGACTTTTTATTTTGATAGATAATATTATTGCCTTCTGGCTTCTAGTCTTGTTATAGAGAAGTAAGCTCTCAGCTGAATTGTCATGACTTTGAAGTGAATTTGTCTTTTTCTCTGGCTACTGTTAAGATTTTTTTCTTGTCTTTGTAGCTGTGCAGTCTATCTGTGATATGTTTAAGTGTGGATTCCTCTTTATTTTATTCCATGGGCTTCTGGAGTCTGTGAACTGGGTCCTTCATCAGTTCTAGAATTGGATTATCTTTTTACAATATTGCTTTTGATATTGTCTCTTCTCTTCTTCTGGAATTCTGAATAGGTAATTATGTTACACCCCTTAATCTGTCTTTCATTTTTCTGAACCTCTCTTTAGTATTTCCCATTAAGAAATCTCTCTGTATTATACTCTGGCTATTTTTGCGATGCAGCTCTCTGTTCACTTCTCAGATCTTCTCAGATGTGTCTGACTGACTGTTATGTCTGTTCATTAAATTTTTATTTCAATTATTTTATTTTTGATTTCTATAATTCTTTTAAAAATATTAGCTCTGCATTTTAGAGTTCCTTGCTTTCTGACATTTTTGATCTTCCTTTTATTTCTTTAAACATGTTACAGATATGTATTTTATATTCTATATGAATATCTGAAAGATTTGTGGATCTGATTTTGTGTTTTTTTTTTCTTTATTTTCTCTCAAACACCTTGACTTCTTTGTGTGTTTATGACTTTTATTTTTTGTTTTATTTTTTATTTTTATTGTTTTTTTTTTGGAGATGGATTCTCACTTTTTTGCCCAGGCTGGAGGGTAGTGGTGTGATCTTGACTTACTGCAACCTCCACCTCCTGGGTAAAAGCCATTCTCCTGCCTCAGCCTCCTAAGTAGCTGGGATTACAGGCGCCCACCACCACACCCAGCTAATTTTTGTATTTTAATTACAGACAAGGTTTCACCATGTTGCCCAGGCTGGTCTCGAACTCCTGACTGCAGGTAATCTGCCCATCTTGGCCTCCCGAAGTGCTGGGATTACAGGTGGGAGCCACTGTGCCCAGCCAAGCATATCTGTGTTTTAGTTTTTTATGATTATCTTACGTTATCCCTTCCGCAAACATGAAATGACTTCTTTCCAAGTGAGGTTGTTAGCTTTTCAGAAAGCCTTGGAAGAAAGTAGACAGAAAAATTCTACATAAAAAGTCTGGTCTAGGACACCAGTAAGTCTTATTCCTAAATTATCAGAATCAGGCTATGACAGTTTTTTTGGTAACAAACCATCATAATTGGGTATGTTAAATGAAAGTATTAGCAATGCCGTAGCGACCTCATTATAAGCCTCTTCACCCATGGATTCCAGGGATATTTTACAGTAAGCCTCTGGGATACCTTACACTACAGAGCAACTCAAGTCCAGCTTTAGCGCACCAGGGAAAATGCAGGCTATTGGGTCCTGGAAATGATAAAACCCATCAAACTTTAGGGCTAAAACGTTCTTTTAATCAATCTGTCATATTTATTGATAAATTAGAAAATGTACAGGTTCAAATTTCATTAAAATTCTTTTCCATGCCCTTTCTCTGGTGGTGGGATGATGGAGGATGAGTAAAATGTCAAAGGGGACTAAAAACTCCTCATCTAGATCCTTGGTTCCCAGAGCAGTATTAACCATGGAGCGCTGCCATCCTCTGAGGTGGGTGCTTCTGGTGCAGGCTCCTAGGACGTTCTGGACTGTCTGACAGCCCCCTTACTCTCTTTAGAGCCTAAAGATGTTGCTGGGGGAGAAGGGAGGTAGACAGAGGAAAGGGCAAGGGTGTGGGATACAGTATGAAATATGCTTCTGGGATAAAACAACCAGTAACTTCCTTGATGGGTTTTTGGCTTGGCTTTAAAACGTAGTAAGCTTGATGGAGCGTGTGCTTCCACCATTAGTGCTGCGTTTGTTTGGCTTAAGATTTCATTAAGCTTCTTAAAATGGAACTCAAATGGCTACTGAGCAGGGAACGGCCAATCAGTGACAGTGACATAGGCAGTGGTGGGATTGTGGCAAAGTAGAGAACACACCTTCCACAGGGGCAGCCGTGGCTCAGCTCGGCATGCTGCTCCTCTTCAGGGGCACAGATCATGGGGTTATTTCCAAAGTCAGAACTCAGCGTTTTTATGATAAATGTCATGTTTTTTTTTTTTTTTTTGAGACGGAGTTTCGCTCTTGTTACCCAGGCTGGAGTGCAATGGCACAATCTCGGCTCACCGCAACCTCTGCCTCCTGGGTTCAGGCAATTTCTCCTGCCTCAGCCTCCTGAGTAGCTGGGATTACAGGCACGCGCCACCATGCCCAGCTAATTTTTTGTATTTTTAGTAGAGATGGGGTTTCACCATGTTGACTGGGATGGTCTCGATCTCTTGACCTCGTGATCCACCCACCTCGGGGAGACGGGGTTTCACCATGTTGACTGGGATGGTCTCGATCTCTTGACCTCGTGATCCACCCACCTCGGGGAGACGGGGTTTCACCATGTTGACCAGGATGGTCTCGATCTCTTGACCTCGTGATCCACCCGCCTCGGCCTCCCAACATGCTGTGTGTGATTACAGGCTTGAGCCACCGCGCCCAGCCCTATGATTTTTAAAGTCTTAACAAGTTTCTCTCTCTCTCTCTCTCTCTCTCTCTCTCTCACACACACACACACACACACACACCCCCCGACAGAGAAGGCCAAGCAAAACACATCTGTGGGCTCGACGTCATCTGTGCTACCACTTTTGTGTTGGACTCTTCTGTTCACCAGATCAGCCTGCCCTACAAGAGCATATCACTTCCTTTGCTGGATCAGGTTTGCCGGCACAGCAGAGAGAGGAGAGAAGAAATGCAGGGACACTTATGCAGAACTGTGAGTGGCCAGAGGGGAGGAGAGGAGGGTGAGTAGAGCCAAGAAGCCATGAAAACGTCATAATTCTGAGTGTGGACTGGCCAGTGGGCCAGAAATCCTGCTGGTGGAGATGCTGCCTTTCCAGCAGGTGAATATGAAGGAACAACGCCAACTCTGTTCAGGATGCCGTTAATTCCAAATGTGAACTTCTTGAATCATTCTTTCCATGTGGAATTCAAAGAAGAATGTAAAAAAGTTTTCAGGAGGAATGTACAATATCCCTGAAAGAGAACAAAGTTAATAAGGCTTATTTACATACAACACTCTAGTCATTGGTTAAACAGATCTTTACAGACTTGCACGAGGCAACATTCCTTAGTCTTATTTGCTACAATATCTTTAAAAATACTTGATTACACATCACTTTAGCTTATTTACATGGACTTTTCACCGAGCTCTGAACTGGGATCTCATTTTGTTGCATTCATCCTGCTCATGACACACAGGTTGGCAGCAAACGAGATTATCCCTCCATTCCTCGTGGATTGGAAATGTTCCACTTCTTTATGAGCTCATCACAGTATCTCTTTCTCCCTTTCCCCAAAGGACAGCCTTTCCTGCCTCAGGGAAGAAGAGAGAGACAGACTACAGTGATGGAGACCCACTCGACGTGCACAAAAGGCTGCCGTCCAGTGCTGGCGAGGACCGGGCCATGCTGCTGGGCTTTGCCATGATGGGCTTCTCAGTCCTCATGTTCTTCTTGCTTGGAACAACCATTCTATGCTCAGGTAAGAAACAGGGAGCAAATCCAGTTTCTAGTTCAGATAAGATCCAGACAAATTGGTAAAGGAGGAGAGGCTGCCTTTGCTTTCTCCATCTGTGACTTTCTGACATGGTTTAGAACAAGAAAAATACACTTCCTCTTCCCCTCTCAGTGCTGGGAGCAGCTGGGAGTGGAGGAAGACGTGACAAGGGTTGAAGATATTTCCCTGCACTGCTTCCTCCCATCTCATAATCTACATATACCTCCAAACTCATAATCCACACATTATAGTTTATTCACTTGGGTCACAAATTCTCCCCCTAAAATGTTGGTATTCCAGGAAAGAGTTAAACCTTGTATGCAAGCACAAAGTGTTTGGAGTCTGACTTTTTTGAGTTTCACAGTGTCTTCCTGGCACATAGTAGTTGCTCAATACATATTACTTTCCTTCCTTTTCTTTTAATTAGGTTCTTTATTCAATACATGTAATGATACCGTCGACCCTTGAACAACATGGGTTTGAACTGTGAGAATCCACTTATAACAGGTTTTCTTCCGTGCTTGCCACCCCTGAGATAGTAAGACCAGTCGTTTCTCTTCCTCCACCTTCTTAGCCTACTCAACATGAAGAGGACAAGGAGAGGACCTTTATGATGATCCACTTCCATTTAGTGAATAAATATGTTTTCTCTTCCTTATGATATTTTTTTCTTCAACTTTTAAGTTCTGGGGTACATGTGCAGAATGTGCAGGTTTGTTACAAAGGTAAACATGTGCCATGGTGGTTTGCTGCACAGATCAACCCATCACCTAGGTATTAAGCCCAGCACCCATTAGCTATTTCTGATGCTCTCCTTCCTGCTGCTTCACCGAGAGGCCGTGTGTGTGTTGTTCGCCCATGTCCCCATGTGTTCTTATCATTCAGCTCCCACTTACAAGTGAGAACATTCAGTGTTTGGTTTTCTGTTTCTGCATTAGTTTGCTGAGGATAGATATCGGCTTCCAGCTTCATTTCAACCATGTCCCCACAAATGACATGATCTTGTTCTTCCTTAGGATTTTCTTTTTTTTTTCCGACAGAGTCTTGCTTTGTCACCCAGGTTGAGGGCAGTGGCATGATCTTGGCTCACTGCAGCCTCCACCTCCCGGGTTCAAGCGATTCTCCTGCTCGGCCTCCTGGGTAGCTGGGCTTACAGGTGTGCACCACCACACCCAGCTAATTTTTATATTTTTAGTAGAGACAGTAGTTGGCCAGGCTGGGCTCAGGCGATCCTCCTGCCTCAGCCTCCTGAGTAGCTGGGACCACAGGTGTGTGCTCTCACAGTTGGCTAAGTTTTGAATTATTGGTAGAGATGGTGTCCCCCTATGTTGCCCAGGCTGGTGTGAACGCCTAGGCTTAAGCCATCCTTCCACCTTGGCCTCCCGAAGTGCTGGAATTACAGGCATGAGCAATCACGGCTGCCCAGGTCGAAGGTTATATGCAGATTTTCCACTGCAGGGTTGGGGATGTGGCGTTGGCATCCCTAACCCCTGAATTGTTCAAGGGTCAACTTCATTTGCTACTAACTATATGCTATGTGCACAATACATACTCTATTGTATCCTACTTAAACTGACAACAGCCCATGATGGAAGTGTTATTTTAACTTTCATTTCATAAATGAGAAAGCGGAGGCTCAGAAAGGCCAAGTAATTTTCCCAAGTTCACACAGCCAGTACAGAATGTGCCTGTCATTCTGACATAAGACTTCTTGCTTCTTATTGCCTAAATGAAGCTTGCTGACATGAGGGGCATGGGGGTTTTGATTAGGGAAGGGGAGGAGTATTTAATTTTGGAGGATGGTCCACACAACATGGGGTACTTTGGGGCCAGGTCAGCTCATGGTGAAAAGAAGGCAAGGGGTGCTTTTTGGACAGCCAAAGAGCAACAGAAGGCCACAGGGGAGTGGAAGAGGAAGGCCTAGAAGTTCAGTGAGGGAAAGAGGTCACAGGAAAGGAAGAGAGTGGCCTACTTCTGTTATTTGTGATTCATCTCCTGCCATTCTTAGTTTACCATTGTAGGGGAAAGATGAAGAGGTCACCATTTACTACCGCATACAGTGCCACTATTGGAAGAATTCTAGAAGAACTTTCCCTCTGGCATTAGCACCAGGAGACACTGTGCTGCTCCTGATCAACCAGCTTACTTTTATTTAATGGACACCAGGAATCTTATATCGGGTTATATTTCCTTCATTGCTTTGCCTACTAGGAAGCTCAGAGACAAATACGTAGGTAGATTCTCATAACTGTAAGGGATCTTATGGTCTGCCGGTTACATGTTTGTACCTCACTTTTTTTTAAACTTCTTTTTAGAGATGGGATCTCACTATGTTGTCCAGGCTAGTCTCAAACTCCTGGGCTCAAGCGATTCTCATGTCTTGGCTGTACCTCATTTCTGACTTCATTCATTCTTTCTTTCCTCTTTTGCTGTTACTCCTTTCCCCTCATCATATATATATCTGTATTACATGTCTTTATAAGTTGAGTAACATGTGTATGCCCAGGCAGATCAGATTATTTTTAAAAATGTGATATATTTGGGAGATGGCTTGAGGGTACCTTCTGCAAGCTGGTACCAAAACGTTGCTCATATATTTAAGTCTTACTTTTCTAAGCATTCCTGGTAATTGCTTGGTTAAACCAAGTGAATGCCTAAGAGTGTTGAGTTTTCATCTCTCTTGCCTGACATCTTGTACCATCTCAGAGAGTACTTTCACTCTGTAAAGGGTGGCAGTTAAGAAGGCCTGGGTAGCTCATACCTATCCCCACTCCCTCAGCCTCTCACCTCTCAATCAAGTAATGGATTTTGTCACAGCTGTAGTCAAATACACACCTGATGCTACTGAAGAAACATGCTCATTTTTTAGCCCTAAATACATCCCTGGTTCCACCTGAAAGGCTCTGACGAGGCCTTGTACATAGGACAGAATGTCCCACTCTGTTTTGGAGCTTTCTAAAATCTTCAAGGAAAATTCAAATCATACTCGGTTCAGTACTTGGTCAAGATTTAGAAAGCTTAAGTTCTAACAGATAGAAAGGTAACTCTACATTATCATTTCAAAATGCCTAGTTAAAGTAAGTATATAAATTAATTTAGTGAAAAAGCAGGCCAGTGCTAAATCTAGGAAAGGATCTTATTTTCCATTTTTGCATTTTTACTTGCCCAATATTTTTTCTTAGGCCACATCTAGTGATTTTGATACCCTGGACCTTGAGGCCATGTTAAACTACATGTTATATTAATAAAGGAAAACAATTATTTTGGTCAAAAAGATTAATGAGGATACAGTAGGAATGTAGCTAAATATTGCTTTTCAAATCTTATTTTTTTTTTTTGAGACAGAGTCTCCATTGCCAGGCTGGAGTGCAGTGGTGCTCAGTGATCTCAGCTCTGCAACCTCTACCTCCTGGGTTTAAGCAGTTCTCCTGCCTCAGCCTCCCGAGTAGCTGGGATTACAGGTGCGTGCCACCAGACCCAGCTAATTTTTGTATGTTCAGTGAAGATGGGGTTTCACCATGTTGGCCAGGCTGGTCTCAAACTCCTGGCCTCAAGTGATCCGCCCACCTCAGCCTCCCAAAGTGCTGAGATTATAGGCCTAAGCCATTGTGCCCAGCCCTGATTTTGAAACATTCTGACTTTAGAGCTTGCTAATCTAACTTACTATGTTTAAGGAACCAGTAAGTAAACACAGGGCCCACCTACACGTGAGTGTGAGAGTATATGCAGAGCTGGTCCCATACATTCAATCAAAACATTTCCTCTTCCCCTTGTTTACTTTTTCTTGCACTTGTTTTCAAATCATTTCATACATATACACATCCTTTCTCTTCAACATCACCACAAGGTCTTCGTGGTAGGAATTCTGCCTGTCACTTCTCATAGCACCTAGGATGCTTTACATATGTAGTACATGTGAAAATTCTCAAAAAATTTTTTCCAAGGAAAATTTAATTCAGTATAGCACTTATTGAACATCTACTTAGGGAGAGGCATTCTGTTTCATGCTTTGAGGAACGCACAGATGAATTGGATGCAGCTACTGATCTCACAGAACTTACTGATAGCAAAAATATGGTGGGCCGGGCACGGTGGCTCAAGCCTGTAATCCCAGCACTTTGGGAGGCTGAGGCGGGTGGATCACAAGGTCAAGAGATCGAGACCATCCTCGTCAACAAGGTGAACCCCCGTCTCTACTAAAAATATATAAAAAAAAAAATTAGCTGGGCATGGTGGCGCGTGCCTGTAATCCCAGCTACTCAGGAGGCTGAGGCAGGAGAATTGCCTGAACCCAGGAGGCGGAGGTTGCAGTGAGCCGAGATCGCGCCATTGCACTTCAGACTGGGTAATAAGAGTGAAACTCCGTCTCAAAAAATATATATATGGTAAGTATTCTACAGAGAGATTACATGTATGATTTGCACTTGCCTCTTTGGAAGTAGAGTGTGTACGTGAAATTGTACCTTGCTCCCAGAAATTGTGTAGGCTATGTTGACCAAGGACCTTGTAGTTGGACTCCTTCCAAGGCACATCAGGAGGAGCCAGTACATCTTGAGAGGATGAAGCATGAGATTCCTGAGTGTGAATCTTGGTGGTTACAGTGTTATGGTAATGCTAACGTTGTTTACACTGTGGTTCTCCAAAAATCTGCATCTTAAAGACGATTAAAGATTCCTGAGCCTCAAGTCAGACCTACCGAACCAGAATCTCTGGAGCAAAGCCCTGGAATCCACAGTTTAACAAATTCTTCATTCTAACAAACTCACAGGTGATTCTGAAGTTTGAAAGCCAATATGCCAGTAGGATCAGAAGTGAGGTGGAACTTGGCACTTCGGGGCTCTTTACCCCAACTCTATGTCTTCCCTGCTCCCTGATGTAAGGATCCTGCGCTACCTCCAAATACACAAATGCCTTGTGCTACCACACCGAAATGTAGAACGAAATTTTCTAGTAAGTGAAGAACATTTTTTTTTTCCAAATTGAAGCACTCAGAGAGAAGAATCGACCTGCACTGCCATCCACACAGCTATCACGGACGACTGGCTGGACTGTGCCTTCACCTGTCGTGTGCACTGCCGTGGTCAGGGGAAGTACCCGTGCCTTCAGGAGTTTGTGAACCTCACCCATTCAGGGCAGAGAGCTCTCCTACATTATAATGAAGAGGCTGTCCAGGTAAATCCCAAGGTATTGTAAAGTTCATGTAATTAAAGAGTTCTTATATATTTTATTTTGAAATGGAGTCTCTGTCTGTCACCTAGGCTGGAGTGCAGTGGCACAACCTCAGCTCACTGCAACCTCTGCCTCCCGGGTTCAAGTGATTCTCCTGCTTCAGCTTCCCAAGTAACTGGGACTACAGGCACGCACCACCACACCCAGCTAATTTTTGTATTTTTTTTTTAGTTGAGATGGGGTTTCACCATGCTGGCCAAGCTGGTCTAAAACTCCTGACCTCATGATTCACCTGCCTCGGCCTCCCAAAGTGCTGGGATTACAGGTGTGAGCCCTTGTTCCCAGCCAAGAGTTCTTATGACAACAACCCTTCCCTGCCAGACTGTCCCCAGCCAGGTATATAAATAACCCAGGGCTGTCTTTAGGGATAAATCTGTTTATTTTGTAGTGAGCATTTTTATAGTGATCCAGTCAGGAAAATTGAAGCTTTCTTCTTGGTGGAGAAATGGGGTATATAGAAAGGAAATAAATTATTTCAATTTCACAACTTGGTGTCTAGAATTTATAGGCTGAGCCAATGAGGAGTCATTTGCGGGCAGTCTTTCTTTTGGAGATCCCACTTCCCATCATATAAAAATGCTACAGTGCACTCACAGTTTACCTTGAATCAAGCGAGTGATTTTTCTTATCAAATAAAGATTATCATTTTTATTTTAATAAGTTACACAACAGATCCCTATTTAAAGTTTATATTTATACCTAACTATAACAGTTGAGTTGTGTTAGATTAGTTGACATGTTACACTTTGTTGTCTTTTTTTTTTTTTTTGAGAAGGAGTCTTGCTCTGTCACCCAGGCTAGAGTGCAGTGGCACGATCTTGGCTCACTGCAACCTCTGCCTCCCGGGTTCAAACGATTCTCCTGCCTTAGCCTCCTGAGTAGCTGGGATTACAGGTGCCCGCCGCTACACCCAGCTAATTTTCTGTATTTATAGTAGAGACAGGGGTTCACCATGTTGGCCAGGCTGGTCTCGAACTCCTGACCTGCTGATCTGCCCAACTTGGCCTCCCAAAGTGTTGGGATTACAGGCGTGAGCCACCACACCCAGCACGCTTCGTTGTCTTTAAGCATCAATTTCAATCTGATGACTTTTGTTTTCTCTTTTGGATGCAGTGATTTTTAAGGTTTCAAACATTTTGTAGGCCTTTAGCACAGTACCTCAAGTACCTAATGGATATGGTAATAAACCTCAAGCTTTTTTGAAAAAAATGTCACCAGCTGACAGAGCTCCCTTCTCCACTGGTTCTGCCCCCCAGGAAGGCCAGGTGGGGCTCCCTCTCTGTGAGCCCAGAGCAAAAGCCCCAATGTGCTTTTCTTTTTTTCTTTTTTTTTTTTTTGAGATGGAGTTTCGATCTTGTTACCCAGGCTGGAGTGCAATGGTGCGATCTCAGGTCACCGCAACCTCCGCCTCCTGGGTTCAGGCAATTCTCCTGCCTCAGCCTCCTGAGTAGCTGGGATTACAGGCACACGCCACCATGCCCAGCTAATTTTTTGTATTTTTAGTAGAGATGGGGTTTCACTATGTTGACGAGGATGGTCTCGATCTCTTGACCTTGTGATCCACCCGCCTCGGCCTCCCAAAGTGCTGGGATTACAGGCTTGAGCCACCGCGCCCGGCCACTTTTCTTTAGGAAAATACTTTGCTGCAGGAGATCAAGACACACAACAGAGGCATTACCGGGTGCTGAAAGCTCACGTACGGCTCAACACATTTTTGTTGAATGGACAAACGGATTCATATTGTCCAAGAGACCAAGAACCTGCGTGTGGGGAGGAGTCTCTTCCTTATGAAGTTGATCACTTCCTCTCCTGAAGTGTCTTTGTTTTTCTTTCCCAGTGAACAAGATGATTCAAATGCAATGTCATATAAACTAAGAATTACCTCCACATCCTTACTTAGTGAGTGGAAATGACTGTTTCACTCCGACTCTCCAGTCCACCCTTTCCCATGAGCTGTGTAATATTTCACCACCTTCTAACATTGAAACTCCCCACTAATCACTTCAGCCTGAAGGTATTTCAGAATCAAAACTGTTAAGTATTTGGTATTGGTGATACTTGGCTGCCTGAGTGCAGTGGTGCTTTCTCTGCTCACTGCAACCTCCGCCTCCAGGGTTCAAGCAATTCTGAAATATGTCTTTATCTTTTTTCCTCCTCCATGTCCCTAGTGCCTTTACACACCTAAGTGCCACCAAGATAGAAATGATTTGCTCAGCAGTGCTCTGGACATAAAAGCATTCTTTGATCATAAGAATGGAACCGCCTTTTCATGCTTCTACAGTCCGGGCAGCCAAGCCGACTGTTCTTATAAAACAGTATGACCAAATGGCCATCTTCCACTGCTTCTTGTGGCCTTCGCTGACCCTGCTAGGTGGTGCCCTGATTGTTGGCATGGTGAGATTAACACAACGCCTGTCCTCACTGTGTGAAAAATATAGAGATGAGGTAGGTGGAAAAGTACCTTATACAGAACAGCATCAGTTCAGACTGTGAAGTGTGAGGAGGAGCAGAAATCTTCAGACGGTGGCCGAATTAAAGGGCTGGCTTTCAGATGTTCGTGATTTCTGCAGCTGAGGACCTAATTACACCTGCCTGCAGACTAACAATGTAAAAGGTAATAATTAAAGTTATGATTCATATTTTCATGTGGGGAAAAAAATTTACAAGCCTCATTTTGTATTCTATTTGTTTCTATAAATACATACAAATTAACTATCTTTTCTAATCAAAATCTCTTTCCAAATAAGTAAGGAAGCACTTTTTCTTGTATAGCAAAGTGAGTTCAAGATATTCTTTACCTAACTTCAGCTCTAGCTAGAACCAATCACTAGAAATAAATAATGAGGGTATCTAACCTACTGAACACTGAACCATCAGCCAACTCTATGCAATATAGTCACACTAAAACATTTCTCAGTTTTAGTGTTCTTAATTAACAGTTCGTTCACTATAGGAAGATAAAAACCTGGCAGAAACTTAAGAAAACATGGACCTAACATATTTATTATAGTGTGTTCTTTTGTTTTTCTTCCTGAGATGGAGTTTTGCTCTTGTTGCCCAGGCTGGAGTGCAGTGGCGCAATCTTGGCTAACTGCAACCTCTATCTCCGGGGTTCAAGCGATTCTCCTGCCTCAACCTCCTGAGTAGCTGGGATTTCAGGCATGTGCCACCATGCCCGACTACTTTTGTATTTTTGGTAGAGATGGAATTTCCCCGTGTTGGTCAGGCTGGTCTTGAGATCCTGACCTCAGGTGATCTGCCCACCTCATCCTCCCAAAGTGCTGGGATTACAGGCATGAGCCACTATGCCCGCCTTAGTTTGTTCTTTGCTGGAGAAGACAGCAGAGGAAAGCTGATGCCTGGAAAATTCACCAAGTTTAGAGTTACTAGCATTTAGCCTTGTCATGTACCTTGTAATTTTTCTTTCACTAATATTTTTCTAGTAAACTATGCTTTTCATAAGCTCATTTCACTCTGTGTACTTTGTGATGGTGGGAAAAATGGGCCAGAAACATGAAGAGACTATACTGGATTTCAACATTCATCTTAGATGATCCACACTGTATTAGGTTGGTGCAAAAGTAATTGTTTTTGCTGTTACTTTTAATGACAAAAAACCGCAATTACTTTTGCATCAACCTAACAGAAAAGTCCCACATGGATAATGAACAGTTGTCTGTACTTTAATGAATCAACCATGGTTATTAAATAATGATGTCATAAGACTCTGAATAAATGCTTTCCAGATTGATTAAGCTGAATCTATGAGTTGAAAAGAGTTTGGCCTGATTTTCCAAAGTGCCTCTAAGTATCTTTAAAATTTTATTTTACCAAATAATCTTAAATTATGGACAGTAAATTTGAAGCTACTTTTATATGAAGATGTAATCAAACAAAAAACTCTAAGTTTAATGCCTTTTAGCAACTGATTTCAAGACACACGCATTACTAAATCAGCTGAATAGAGCAATACTGACTTGATCAGTAATGAATACTCTTGGTGTTTTCCTCTCTTTCTAGTGTACTACGGTGGAAAGAACATGTGTCTCAGAGTAGGATTTGCCTTTGTAGGCCGTAATCACAACTTTTAAAATATGTGTCTTTGGGCAAATTGGCTAACCTGTCGAAACCTCTCTTTTCTCATCTATAAGATGGGGATAACTTGTTATTTCACACAGTTATTTTACAGAATAAATGAAGTAGGGTAGGTGAAATACTTTAGCTTAGCTTCTAGCATCTAGTAAAGGTGCTCAAAAATGTTAGATCATTTATTTAAAAATCTGCTAAGTGGTGACACTGAGCCCTGGCACTTTTCACAGACAGCTGGTACAGAGGCTGCTGGGACAGGAAGCTGCAGTTCATTTTCCCTGCCCCCACCCCAATTCTCTTAGTTAAATGTGATGTGCACTTAAGGCCCACAACCTGCTTTTTCAAAGGTTGTGGTAAACTATTTTGTATACCGGAGACTTCTCTGTAATAAAATATATCTGTATACATGAACATTTTATATGCATGCACATTTCAATCAAGATTCTGTTGTTTCCTTAAGGGTGCATCTCTATTCCATTTCCTTGTAGATTTGACTTCTACCTAACAATAGGCAATTATTGGGATTTTTTTTCCCCTAACAAATTCAAAATTGCTAATTTAAGATGTAAAGTGTGTGTTTCAATTACCACAGTTTTCCTTTTAGATAGGAGCTACCTGATTCATTTCAGCAAAGAGAGATATACCTGGAGAACAAAGTCAATTCAAAGTTATTTAAACCATTTGGCAAATAAATAAAATTTAAGTAATAATTTGCTTCCTTGCTCAGAAATACTACGTTGTTAATGCCTATGTGTATTTTTGGCCAAAGAAAAGCCCACCCTTACCTTCTGCAACGTTTATGGTAACTGAAAGCAAAACCAGTTTGCTACTAGCTTAACCTCCACTTCTAGGTTCTGATCTTCCAATGACTTGGAAGGAAGTCCACTTACCTATGACATATACACGCATACATTCATACATGTATTTCTGCTTAAAACACAAGCATTTAATTCTTTATGTTTGAAAGAAGTAAATATTTAAACATATATTTCTCTAATATTCATCACTTTACTGGGGCAGAAAAACTGGCTTTTAAGGTAGAATAGCTTCAGATTTTCAATCAAGTGTTCTTAGTCATTACTGAAAAGAACTCAAATTCAGCTAAATTTTGATTATTAGCAACGCTGACTTGCTTTTCAAAAGGAATGGCAAAAGAGAATTATCACCGTTTTTTTCTTATATAGTACACTAAGGATTGTTTGCACACAAGTCAAAGTAATTTTTTTTTTTAATAAACAGCATGATGTTACAGACTGCAGAGTGAAAGAAAAGCAGACATTGAGAGTTTCTGATGAGCACAGACAGTAAGTGCAGCCACAGGCCAAACTTCTTGCTAGGAACAGCAAGACTGGGAAGAGGTCTCAAATGTAGTGATACTGTTATTATTCTATATTCTCAATATAGTAACACATGCATCTTGCTGTGTCAAATGCTTTTTGGGCCATAATTAAAAGGACATTAAAAACATTTTTCCTCTAATGAATGCAGTATACCACAGGACTTCAATTCACTGAATGACAAAATATAGAGAAATAAAGTTGTTACAATCAGTGGGGCAGAAAGGGTGGCTTGGATTGTTAAAGCTTCCAAGTGAACATCTGACATTAGCAGTCTTCTGGCAGCGCCACATTCCCCACGGCAGTAAAATGTTATGCTCCAAGAGGGCATATTCTTTTAGATTTTACTCAACCCCGTTTGGTCTGAGGACTGAATCACACTGAAACCATTAACTTCATTTGAAACTCGGGTTCCAGAGCCAAAAACATTTCCGAAATCAGATGAAGGCTGAGTTCTCCAGCTGCTTTTAGGAACATAAACTAAATCGAACAAGGGATTTTTAAAAATGAAACAAAAACAAGACAAAATAAAAATGAAATAGATCACAATTTTGGAAATTCATACTAGAATTAAGTTTGGTCTAATTATATTTTAATATGAAACAATGAACGTTTTCTGCCTCCTTGCTAACCTAGAAAAATTGACAAGAATCGTAATACCTAAAATATACATGGTTCTTCGCATAACCACAGAATTATTGTAGTGACAGATTAAATAAGGTTGCAGATAGATCCATAGACTTTAGTTGGCTAACAAAATACATTTGAAACCCTTTTCTGTACTTACCTACATGGGGAATGGAGTATACTGTTGGTAGCAAAAATCATTTACCTAACTACTATATATGCACAATGACTATTTTTACTTTTTTCTCCACTAAAACTCTAATATGTAGTTGTGTGAAAACTAAGTCAGAAAATCTCCTTATGGCTCACACCTGTCACTTGACGCCAACTACCAGGGCTGGAGTATTAACATACCTGGAATCAAGCAGGTGCTGCCCCCATAAAAAGGAGGTGCAAAACCTTAAGCGGAATGAATATGTGAATGAAATAAGTTTATTTAAAGGAGTCCCACCTTGGGAGACTCCTAATAAAGTCTAAACTCTTCTGAATTTTAGAACCTTGGCATTTCTTTACACCTTTTATAGAAAATCCTCTTGACTAGGGCTAAGCAAGCAGCGTGTATACAAACAGAATCGTATGCAAGTATATACACACCAAATTCACTACTAATGAAGAAAGAAAATGAATTTCAAATGCTGAATTTGAGAACCTCTTCCAACTACTGCCTTTCTCAAATGGCTGAAACAATGATTAAACTTCAGCCCAGTTTTTTTCTTATGGTCTTCCATACCATTAAAAACAAGGCATGCCAACTCTGACTTTATAAATCCAAAATTCAGTGATCTGCACAATTTCTGTAGTATCAGAGCCTGTGTTATTGAATTGTGACTCATCTATTTTTTCCCCGTTTTTCTTCTGAGGTAGAGTTATCAATCCAATTTTATCAGTACCACAGATATTGAGCTAAAACCCATAATCTTTTCACAGAGTAAAAATAATATTTGTGAAAAAAGAAAACAGGCTTCCCAGGCCATGGCACAAAGATATATTTACAATTTTTAATGTAATAATTAGAAATGGTTTTGAGTTTATATTTAAAAAAAAAACAGCCCAGCTGTATTACTTTGTCACCAAGAATTATCATCTGAGGATGCTGTCAGCGCTGAGTTTTACAGTTCAGCCTTCACAATCCCATCCATGATGAAGAGTTAATTCTTGTATGGCATACAATATACTCACAACTTTCAGCCTTCTCTGAGACATGCCCCAAATGAGCAGGATGGATGTAAAGAATGTAATTCATTCAAACAACTCCTCCCTGTTCTGCCCATCCCTTCCCATACCCCTCTTCTCAAAAACATCTGAAGTATGAAAGTTGTCTTTAAATAGTAAAAGCACCACAATCTATTAACACCACATATTATCTTTGAACTGATGTATTTAGTGATGTCTTAGACATCAAAATAATTTCTTAAGGTGGACTTTGAGTATGTGGGTCCAGCCCAGGTCTGCAGTTTGTGCAGACGTAGAAAAAAGAGGAACTTTAAATATTCAGAAAAAGTTAACAGGCTAGCTGTAAAATACTGTTGGAAATTAAATTTCTTCAGAGTTGGCAAGCATGGGCTATTGATCGAAATGTGAATTAAACAGATTTACATCAAGATAAAAAAGTCCATGTCATGTGCCGTGAAATTTCCATGATGCCTTTCAAATAGGCTGCTCACAATTTTTTTATACTTCCAAATCACTTGATTTTTGATGGAAAAAAGAATACAGATGGACTGTGTTTTACCTATGTGAAAATCACCAATCCATTTAAAATAAAATCCAAGAGGGCATATACAGTCTAATCAAGTCATCATTTTCCTGATTAGTAAGAACTACACTTTACACAAAATACTTTATCAGCAGCTGTTTTCATCAAAAAATCAATAGTTTCACAGTTGAAAAAGTTACACATTAAAATATTTTACAATTCATTATATTTTCACCAGGTTCCCACTTTCTAATGGGCTTTTAATATAAAGCAGAAAAGAAGGGAATCTCAAAGTTGATTACTTTGACACTGAGTTTTACATAGGACACTAAGAACCACAAAAAGCTTAGGTTCTATTGTAAAATAGCAACCAAATTCCATTCTTCTTTTAAAAATCCAATTAGAAACATTTTTTTTTAAAAAAATCAAATTCCACAATAAGATTAACAGATTTCAAATTAACAGTAGTCTAAAAATATTCAAAATAAATGGTTTTGTATAGCTAATATGGTAGAAAGTGAAAGCATAATTTTCGAACAGTCATTTCTTACCACACTGTGTTTAAAATTATTTTTATTATTTTCTTTAGACTTTTTCTCAAAATAATTATTGAAGGAAATATTTAAGTGGCCCAATGAAACTGTAGAGCCAACAGTCAATTACATCATATCCAAGGACAAGGATAGTCAGCTATAGATAGGACCTGACCTCTGATTTGAAGTACCTGGAAGTGGTTATATTATCTCTGACTTGAAACAGATCTTAGTCACCCATGTAGCATTTAATTCAGTGTTTGGTTCTTTGCCTCTGTGTCCCTCATTTCTTTCTTAGTTAGGTCACAATCTATAGTCTTTATAGAGTTTGTCTACACTTCTTCAAATAGAATTTGGTTGTAATAACTATTGAAAATAAATGTAAATGATGAACTAGGCTATGTGGTTTGTGTGTTTTGATGGTGGAGAGGTCCTGGGAGGAGGATGGGAAACAACTATTTGCACTGATGTTATAAAAATGCAAAGATGGTACATTTTGTGCAAGGAGGCTCAAGGCATTTTGGGCACTCGGGTAAAACACAGTTCTCTGTTAAATCTTAAGTTTCTACCATCAAAGTTTCGGATCTGTACCATTTTACTGAGTTTTCCTGTAATTTATCCCTGATATTGAGAAGACTGGGATGTTAGTATGTATCTACTGCCTACGTCTAAACAACACAAAATGTTAGTAAGTTTTAGTAAGTTACGAAATCTTCTATAACTGCAAAATAATCTTTCTGGTTTCCTGCTGAAAACAGAGTTTAAATTTTGTTTAAGTATTCCAAGACAGTTGGCAGAAATAAGTTCCCTTAATCTTCGGATTTATTTTTCTTCTTGGCAATATTATATACATGCTTTAGTGAAGTACCTAAATTTCCAATAATTATGCCCTTTAAGGGAATCGAAGATAACCAGATATTAAGAGTATTTGTATTAGAGTCCCTTGTTCACTACTCAAGACTTCAACTATAGGTAACAGATTTCATAAATGAATATTTTTAAAGTATGCTGTTTTTACTAGAGTATACAATGTTCACTCTTGATAAAGTTGTTTTCCAATAATATGCCTAATCTAAAAAACTGTCAATAATGATTGCACTTTTTCATGTGGCACCTGGACATCTGCTAAAGCTAATTTCCTAGGACATTAATCATTCATTTCAAATACAGAGTAAAATATGAGATTCTAGAATGATGACCAGCAGTAGCCTCTACACCTTGGGTTAATGCTTTTCAAAATGTTTAAGAATGTGTCCTGCGCTCAAGTAGTATTTAATGAAGTTGGAGAGTTAGCCCCAACTACTTGAGAATGGGACATGATCTTAAAATGGGTTAATGTCCTACTTTGGTGATATGGGTAGTTTAAAAAGGTAAAAAGTTCGTGGTTTCTATTCCCCCATATTTTAAAGCATTATTCATGAGTATACCTCAGTAGAGGGGCTTAAGGAATCAGGAAGATAGTCTAAATTGTGTTAAATTTCATATGACTGAGACATTCTCAACTATAAAAGAGGATGGAAGATGGGGGCGTCACGTGAAGAAATAAAAGGAAAGAGGATGAAGTTTTACATCTTCCTTAAGCAGTTCTGCACTGGTTATGGGTATAAACGGGATAGTGCCTGAGCCTCATCTACACACCAAGAGGAAACCTGACCATGCTGCTACGAACAATGAAAAATCTGGGTGCAAAACAAGGCATGACCATGGGTCAGATCATGGAAATGAAGAATATATATTAATGATAGTTTCTATAATATAAATAGCCTTTAATAAAAAAAATAATCTTTTTAATAACATTAATAATACTTCTATTTTCTGGAAAACATGCATGAAAAATGTATTCAGTTCAATTGCAAAAGGAGAAAAAAAAATCAACTTAAGGTGAATACTGTACAATTCTGGAAAAAGAACTATTCCTGCTCATTCCTTTTCTATATGATTTCTTTTTTAACTTTGTGGGAGCCCAGAATTTCCCTGGGAAATAAGAATAAGATCCTTTAAATACTGACCAGAAAAAAACAAAACAAAAACAAACCCAAAAATACCATCTTATATCAGGTCTCATTTGTGACTGCTTCCAAAGCTGCAGTAAGACCTCAAATCACCAAAAGGTTTGATTTATTTAGAAGAAAAAGTCTCCGGTGAAATTGCAAGAGTCCCTTCCACCCCAAGCATTTTTCTTCATTAAACAAGGAGTCAAAAACCCACTTCAAACTATAGATTGAACAGCAATGGAAAAATAAGAAATTTTCATTCTTTCCCAATCTCACATAATTTAACATAAACTCCAGTTTACTTAGACCTAATGCAATAACAGCCTTGGTTATGTCCGCATTTCAAAACAGAACATTTCTAAGACAAAAAAAAAAAAAAATCATTCTTTTTCCTTCTCCATCATTTCTATATATTTTGGGGATTTTTGTTTTGTTTTGTTTTTTAAAAAAAGATACAAACAATCTTCAAAGTTTACCTTTTTGGACTTAAGGCATAACATGAAATTGTGCATTATTCTAAAGCTTAATTTTGAAATGAACTAGTTTAAGTGCTATCAAACCCTGTTTGCATTTACATTATTTAAATTATATAGTATTTTATTTCTGTTCTTGTTGTAAATTCTAATGCTGTTCATAGATTGTGCAATTCCTATGCAATCAGTCTTTGCCCGCTGACAGTTATCAACAGTGCAGTGTAGAGTCCAGAGAGTGAGCTTTCAGTTTCTCGGTCTTTTCAGTTCAGTGCATGCTGCTTAATTGTGTGGAAGATCCAATCCATTTTTGTTGTCCAGCCACCATGATGTGCATCATTCATTTGTTTCATGAAATATTCCAAAGCCTCTTGCTCAGTTTTATCTAAGGCTAGGGTCTTTCGAATGTAGGCAATGTCATCAAAAGATTGTAGTTCTGGCATTCCAGAGCCAAGCATCATTGAGAAAAGATTTATGAAGAGATTGGCATGCTGTCGAATAGCTAGATAAGCCTTGTAACACATCTCCTGAAACCTATGAGTAATAAGAACAGTTTGGTCAGTATGGAGCATATGAGGTTAATACCTTCGGGTCTTTGCTCAAATGTCACACAATCAGAGAGGCTTTTGTAGACAAAGCTATAAAAAACAGCATTCCTCTCTCACTTCTCTTGCCAACATCTTTTGATTCCCTTTACCCCACTAGAGTGTAAACTCCATGAGAATAAGGATTTTTAAAAAATGGCTTTATTATCAGCACCTACAACAATGCCTGGTACATCGGAGTTTAAAAGCATAAAATGTAAGAATTGGTTCATACTAAATAGTGCTTAGGCTAGAGTCAGGACTGAGTTACGGACAAAGCAGAATTTTATAGGTTTTAAAAAGTACTTTAAAGTCTGATAAAGTCTAAAAATACACCATAAGGTGGTAAAAAATTGAATTAACAAGGTGATTATAGTTGACTGACTTTCCTCAAATTGTATGAATAAAAAATGTATTAAGCACTATACATTATTTGTCAATATAGAGGTGGAGTCCGACTATTTAAACCTCAGTAAATAAAAACATTTAATGTATTATGGAGTTTAAGGATTATTTTTAGGCCTTAATTAGCTCAAGAAATAATATTGTATTCCTTTTCCATTTCTTTCACAGCATCACACAAATAAATACAAAAAAATAAAAACACTGAAATAGTTTTTCACTCAACAAACTAGGCATAGAAGGGACTTATCTCAAAATAAAAGTTATATATGACAAACCCAAGGCCAATATCATACTGAATAGGGAAAAGCTGAAAGCACTCCCCCTGAATCCCACTTTCACCATTTCTACTCAGTATAGTACTGGAAGTCCTAGCCAGAGCAATCAGGCAAGAGAAAGAAATACAGGGCATCCAAATTGGAAAAGAGGAAGTCAAACTATTGTTGTTTACCATTATATAATCATATACCTAGAAAACCTCAGAGTTCTCCAAAAGACTCCTAGATTTAGGCTGGGCGCAGTGGCTCACACCTGTAATCCCAGCACTTTGGGAGGCTGAGGTGGGCAGATTGCCTGAGGTCAGGAGTCCATCTCTACTAAAAAAAAATACAAAAATTAGCTGGGTGTGGTGGTGCACGCCTGTAGTCCCAGCTACTTGGGAAGCTGAGGCAGGAGAATCACTTGAACTCTGGAGGTGAAGGTTGCAGTGAGCCGAGATTGCACCGCTGCATTCTAGCTTGGGTGAAAGAGCAAGACTCTGTCTCTCAAAAAAAAAAAAAAAAAAAAAAAAGACTCCTAGATTTGATAAATGAGTTCAGTAAAGTCTCAGGTAACAAAATTAAGGTACACAAATCAGTAGCACTGCTATATACCACAATGACCAAGCTAAGAATCAAATGAAGAATATAAGCCCTTTTACCCCCCACCCCAAAAAAAAACCCTAGAAATAAACAGGGGGATGAAAAATCTATTCAAGAAGAACTACAAAACACTGCCAACACCATTTTTCACAGAGTTAGAAAAAACAATCCTAAAATTAATATAAAACCCACCAAAAAGAGCCTGAATAGCCAAAGCAAAACTAAACAAAAAGAACAAATCTGGAGGCATCACATTGCTGGACTTCAAATTATACTAAAAAACTATAGTTACTAAAACAGCATGGCATTCATGAAAGTAGACACATTGACCAATGAAACAGAATGGAGAACCCAGAAATAAAGCCAAACATTTATAACCAGCTGATCTCAGACATACAAAAACAAACTGGAAGGACACCCTGTTTAATAAACGGTGTACTAGGAAAACTGGCCAGCCAAATGTGAAAGAATGAAATTGGATCCCTATCTCTCACCTTATATAAAAATCAACTCAAGATGGATCGAAGACTGAAACCATTAAAATTCTAGAAGATAACCTAGGAAAAATTCTTTTGGACATTGGTCTAGGCAAACAATTAATGACTAAGACCCCAAAAGCAAATTCGACAAAAACAAATGAAATAAATGAAACCTAATTAGACTAAAAAGCTTCTGTATAACAAAAGAAATAATCATCAAAGTAAATAGACAACCAAGGGAATAAGAGAAAAAATTTGCAAACTATGCATCCAACAAAGGACTAATATCCAGAATCTACAAGGAATTCAAATGAGCAAGAAACAAATAATCCCATCAAAAAGTGGGCTAAGGCCAGGTGCAGTGGCTCAAGTGTGTAATCCTAGCACTTTGGGAGGCTGAGGTGGGTGGATTACCTGAGGTCAGGAATTTGAGACCAGCCTGACCAACACAGTAAAACCCTGTCTCTACTAAAAATACAATAATCAACTGTGCATGGTGGCATGTGCCTGTAGTCCCAGCTACTTGGGAGGCTGAGGCAGGAGAATCAGTTGAACCCAGGAGGTGGAGGTTGCAGTGAGCCAAGATTGCCTCATTGCACTCCAG